CCCCAAAACCCCAAAACCCCAAAACCCCAAAACCCCAGGTGTACTATTAAAGATAGAATAGTTGCGAAATTATTAAATGATAATTCTGACGTTAAAGGAAATAATCTGGGATTCTCTTGTCCTCATCTGGTAGCTGCTGTGAAGGGGCTGCTTCAAACTGAGTGAAGTTGTATTTGTGAAATTCATCAACCTCCATGATGGCAGCTTCATTACCACACCTGAAAGTGTAGTTCGGTGCCGAGAAAATTGTTAGCACATTTTTCTCATGAGTGAAGGTGTACCCTGACATGACCATTTGGTGTGCTCTGGCGATTAGTTTTAAGTTGTTTGCGTAATTGAATTGTTCTGAGATCTCTTGTCCAAATAAGTATCCAGCTCCTCTGTTAGAAATCCTCCAGCCAGGAGATTCAGAGGGGTCTGACCACATAAGATCTCACATTCCTCCCTCGTGAGGGGTTTCTTGGATTCTATCAATTAGCTTAATCTGATCCAGAGTATCAATGGTTGGAGAAAGGCCTCCATGGGTTCAGAAAATACTGTCGTCTACAAGAGCGTTTGTTGGCATGTAGTCAAATAGATCAGTGACTATCCTCCAGACATTTGGGGAACCATATTTCCTCATACACTCATCATAGAATCCATAGGTTTGGGATGTTGCTCTTCACTCATGATTTCCTCTAATTAAGGTAATTCTTTCAGGATATTTGACTTTGTAGGAGACCAGTAGGCAGAAAACTTCGATAGAGTAATACCCTCTGTCTACATAATCTCCAAGGAAGAGATAGTTTGTATCTGGAAGTTCTCCACCAATCTTGAATAGCTCCAAGAGATCATAAAATTGGCCATGAATATCTCCTCAGATAGTGACTGGAGCAGGCACATTGACTATATTATCTTCCTTAGTGAAGATCTCCTTGGCTTTGTCGCATAGGACCTTGATGTCTTCCTCCGGGAGGGGCTTACATTCTTGAAGTTGTCCGATATAAGCATCTATTGTTCTTCTATCACACTTCTTAGTAGTAATCATCTCTATTTATTTAATTTATTATTAATCTTACCTTTACGTTAGTATTTATATCATGGTTTACGGGGTTTTGGGGTTTTGGGGTTTTGGGGTTTTGGGGTTTTGGGG